AGGGTTTGGTTCTAGGATCTACATATGAGGGAGAACATATGTCAAATTTTTTTCTGAGTCTGTGTTACTTCACTTAGTATAAGTTTCTAGTTCCATCCATTTACCTGCAAATTTCATGATTTCATCTTTCTTTACTGCTGAGTAAAACTCCATAGTATAAATGAACCACATTTTCATTATCCACTCGTCAATTGAGGGACACTTAGGTTGCTTCCATCTTTTAGCTATTGTGAAAAGAGCAGCAACAAACATGGGATATACAAGTGTCTCTGCAATAGGATGAGTTTTTTGGGTATATGCCAAGGAATAGTATACACTGGGTCAAATGGTAGGTTCATTTGTAGTTTTTTAAGAGTTCCACACTGCTTTCCATATGTTATGTATATGAGTATTACTCCTGCATGTAGGTGCATGCATCCATGCAGACCAATGCTCAAGGAGGTCAGAGGAGGGAGCTAGAGCCCCTAGAACTGGAGTTGCAGTTACTAGCCACCATGTGTGTGGATGTTGGGAATCAAACCTGGGTCCCCTGCAAGAGCAGTCAGTGCTCTTAACTGCTGAGCCATCTCTCCAATTCCAGAATTTTAATTTTTAATAAGAGAAAAATAGGCATGAAAAAAGATGATTTTTGTCCTTCCTCTCTCCACCTAGGTACTACTGACATTTCAGGGCACATAGTTGTTCTTGGGGAGCTGTCCTGGGTAGCACAGGATATGCCCCCACTTGTGAGAACCAAAAGTGTCTCCATACATTGCCAAATGTTCCCTAGGGGGCAAAATTATTCCAGTGGTCAGAGGAGACTAAAGAAACATTTGATGGACAAGCCTAATCCTAGTCTGTATCTTGTTCTGGTGGGCAACGAATATTACAAGAATATTATTAGGTCAATTAACAAAACTGGAATATAAATGAAAGATTAAATACAAGCATTTTATCAATATTAAACGTACCTAGGTTGATAACTGTACTATAGGTATATAAGAGAGTATCTCTATGATTAGGAAATGCATACTGAAGTATTTGGGGAGAAAGGACCATGATGTATACAATCTGCCCTCAAATGATTCAGAGACTATATATATATATATGCACATATACTCATATATACACACATGTATATACACACACACATATATATACACACATGTATATACACACATATATATGGGTACGTGTGGATAATGTTTTTGCATGTGTGTAATCTGTAGTGTGATTGATATAAGTACGTTCTTTGTGCTATTTGTGTGTATATGTGTTTGTGTGTTTGGAGGTCAAAGGTCCAGGTCAGGTGGGTATCTTCCTTAATCACCCTCCTTCTTATTATTAATATTATTTTTATTGGTTTTTTTTTTTTTTTTCTTTGAGACAGGGTCTCCCTGTAGCCTCAGCTGGCCTGGAATTTGCTATGTAGATCAGGCTGGCCTCGATCTCACAGAGATCCACCTGCCTCTGCCTCCTGAGTGCTTGGATTAAAGGTGTATACCAACACACCCAGCAAAAAAAAAATTGGGGAGGGGATTTTTTTATGTGTTTTGCCTGCAATGTATGTGCACCCATCTTGTGCAATGCCTGCAGAGGGCATCCAATCCTATGGAATTGGAGTTACGGACAGTTGTTAGTTGCCATTTAGATGCTGGGAATGGAACCCAGGTCCTCTGTAAGAGCAGCAGGTGTTCTTAACAACTGAGTCATCTCTCCAGCCACCACCTTCTTATTTTTTGAGACAGGATCTCTTGCTTAACATGAAATTGGCTGATTTGGCTAGACAAGCTGGCCACCATGCCACAGAGATCTTCCAGTCTCCACCTCCCCAGTGCTGGCCTTAAAAGCCTCTGACTTTTTCATGGCTCCTGGGGATCAAAAGCAGGGTGTTATGTTTGTGCAACAAGCACTTTCCTGACAGAGCCATCTCCCCAAACCTCACACTACTTTTATTTGTGAAATTTTTCTGTATATTTGAAATCCACTGCAAATCAAAAAGTGTGAGTTGCTTTTTAAGTGGCAAAGGGTTTTTTAAAACCCAATGGCAGGCTTAACCCTAGTCCAGTATAAGTGATTAAAAACCCCAAGAGATAATGACGTCCTACATCTGGACATTCCTTAGAAAGAATTGTCTTGCTTTGTCTCCTTCCTGCCCTACTCTCTGAAGGTGATCTCTTGAATAGTGGTGACATGAAATGAAACTTATCTATTCCACTTTTTTTTTTTTTTTTTTTTTTTTTTTTTTTTTTAGACAGGGTCTCCCTGTAGCCCCAGGTGTCCCGGCTGGCCTTGAGGTCACAAAGATCCATCCGCCTGCCTCTGCCTCCGCAAATGCTGGGACTACAGGTGTGCACCACAACGCCCAGCTTCTATTGCACTTTTAGAAGACCACTTCTTGAAAATAACCCAATAAATTACATTTCTACTTGATCTCATCACAAATCATTTTAGAATCATCTTTACCAGTTAAACGAAATTGCTAAAACACACGAGTGTTTCTCTTAAGATCATGTATCCACTCAGCAAGTAGAAGAATGTGAAGTGAACTAGAGACACCAAAGCATATCTAAGAAGGTCAAAGGTAGAGATAAAAGGATTAGCCAGAACCAGAGGTAGCATAGGTGTCCTATCCAGGGAAAAGGACTAGAGTGGGTGCAGGTGAGTCAGTGGGCGAGGGGGTCGCTCACCTGGCAGTGGTAAGGAGAGGGTGCTGAGTCCCCACCAGCTTCCGCACCTGCATAGCGATGTTGCTGAGCTCGTCACTCAGCAGACAGCGGAGGCTCATGAAAGACGTGGGATAGCCGACGATCTTCTCCGCCTCTGACACCACCTGGTTCCAATGGGCCGGCGACTTGGAGGACCGACCACGACAGGAGCCTACCGAGGGGGTGTCGAGGGACTTAGACCACCACCACAGGCGACGTGGGGGTCCCACGGTCCCGAGATAACTGGGAAAGCGCAAGAGCAGCTGCCCAACGCTCATGGTTTGCGTCTGAGAGGGTCAGGGACTTTGAGGTGCCGAGACAGCGCGGGAAACAGAGGCTAAAGAGGAACTTTCAGAAACTCGAGTCCTGACCCTCAGTGACTTTCTGGAGCCGTCACCAGGAACGAAGTTTGCTGCTTCTGCAGCCCAGGCTGCACAGACCGCAGCGTCAGCTCAGATTTGCCGCGGCCACCTGAGGGAGAAACCACGGCGGCGGTCTACATGGGGGACGCCATATTGAAGGCACGGAATCCGGCCTGCCGTAAGGATAAAGGGCGGGCTGATGAGCCGCGAAGAGTGCGCCTTACTTTACGGCGCAGTAGGGAACGCCCCAGGGGCAGGGCTTTGGCCCGACTCTCGGCCTGCGTGGGCTCGGGTGGTTAAGCCTCAGCGCCTCCGGTGTAGGGTGAGGCTACCGGGCGGTTCCTCTGCCTTTGGGTCTGGGAGGGCTCGGGATCGTCAGAGTGTTCTCCGAGTCTGTGTAAATATTTGTGTCTAGACTGATGGTCGGCGTCTGCAGTAAGGTCGCTGGGCCGAGCGCGGGCTCCCGGTCGCAGTGGTTGGACTGGAGGGCGGTCCCACGGGCTGGACTCCGCCTGCCCTCCGCCTCCGGACTGATGCTGGTGGCCTGCGGTGCCGCCAGAGGTCCTTGTTTCTAGCAGTGTCCTCGGATCCGTTTTCGAATCACTGTCCTCTTGAGCCACGGTTTCCTCGTGGGAACAACCCAGGCAAAAACAGTTCTGCCTTCTGCACAAGGATGCTGAGAAGATGGAATGAAACATTGCCTCCTCTGTTTTCATTTTCCTTGGTGTGCTCAGCGTTGAGGCTCACCAAAGCTTACTGGCCTGAGTGCTTTTCACTCATTAGGTCACTTAATCATCAATAGAACTTCGGTTGTGTTTTAATGATACCGGTATCCATCTCATTTAGGGGGAAAGTGAGACAAGGCTAAACTCTAAATTCTAAGCAACGATGTGAACCCAGAGAATTTGGATTTTTTTTTTTCTTACCCTTTAGATGATAGGAATAGAAGCTGCCGCCTACCTCCTGGGCGCATGCTAGGCAAATGCTCTACCATTGAGCTACAAGCCAGATCTAACAATTTGGACCTTTTTTGTTGTTTGTGTGGGGTTTTTTGAAACATGGCCTCTTTGTGTTTTAGCCCTGGCTGGCTTGGAGCTCACTATATAGACTAGGCTGGCCTGAAATTCACAGAGATCCACCTGCCTCTGCCTCCCCAGTGCTGGAATTAAAAGCCTGCACCACCACACTTGGCCCAATGAATAGTTTTTAAAACTCTCTTTAAGCTTTCAGAATTTATGGTTGAAATTTTTTTCAGTTCGCGTCATATAAATGGATTAGACGTTTGAGCTACATATAAAATTAAGACTTAGGGACTAAAGAGATGGCTCAGTGGTTAAAGGCACTGGCTGATCTTGCAAAGAACCGGTTCGGTTCCCTGGCGGCTAATAGCTGTTAGTAACTCCAGTTCCAGGGGATCTGACGCCCTCTTCTGGCCCCCGTGGGCATTGCATGCATGAGTGTACTACATGCTGGCAACGCTCGCAAATAAGTTTTTTTAAAATAAAAATAAACTTTTAAGCCTTAAAAAGCATAAATTGTTCACATTGCAAAACAAGATGCTTTTCTCTACAAAAGGTTTAGTTGGAGATTCCCTTTGAATGGCTGATTTCTTGTCATTTAAAAATTCTATTTATAAAAAAAATTCATTGCAGATAAAGCGTTTTTAGGAGGACATTTTATTTAAGTTGAATTATACTTAAAGATATTAAGGGAGATGGGGCTGGAGAGATGGCTCAGCGGTTAAGCACATTGGGCTGCTCTTGCAGAGGACCCAGGTTCAAGTCTCAGCACCTACATGGTGCTTACAAACATCAACTCTTCTGACCCCCCTGGGCATTGCATGACACGGGTGCACTTACCTACATGAAGACCATACACTTATGCACATAAAAATAAAGACATAAAATTTTAAAGAGATAAGAGACAGTCTTTCTCCACTAGTGAGGTAAGCTGGGGTTTGAAAAGGATTCCTATGAAAGAGATAGACTCCTGGAAATAAAATTCAAGTCTAATACTAGGTGAAAGTAAATGTGGAAAGTGAGATATTTTACCATTCCAAAGAGTTCCAAGACCTGAGCTTCTGGGTTATCCAAGGTGAAAGAAGCCATGAAAATCTGGAGCAAGATAGACTGGATGTGATATATTATGCACCTGAGGCTGTTTCTTCAGAATCATGGTACCTTAAGAGTAACCTTTCATGCAATTTCCTTAATAACAATTCACAGCATGTACTTTAATTTCTCCACAGAAGCCAAGTGCATTATTCTCTGGTCATACTCTGTTAACCAAGTTTTTGATTATTCATGGGACTTTTGGTCCCATTTACTTTAAATAACCAGGACTTTCCTTTATACTTACAATTAAAAGGTCGCATTATATCTAATGATAATCAGTTTTTAGAAGGTTAAAATGGTATTTGTTCTTTAATCTTCCAGGTAAATATATAACTTCTTAGATCTTTTTAACTAAAGAAATGTCCAAATTGCTAGTGATTTTTCAGGAGCAAGAGGGGGAGTGTCTGTGATTTTGCCCTTCCTCTGCTATAGATAGTAGTTATTTTAAAGATATGTGTATATGTATGCATAAGGAAGATTGCAGCAGAGTTCCTCAACCTTGACATTGTTGACCATTTTGAGTCTTGTAATTCTTTGTTGAGGGGGAGAGGAACTGTCCTGATGTTCAGCAACATCCTTGACCTCTACCCACTGGATGCTAGAAGTGCCCTCTCTAAATTGTGCCAACCAGATGTGTTTTCAAATACTGCTGAATATTTGTACCTAGAGAGCAAAACAGTCCACTAGAATATAAGAGATGCTGAAAGCAGCTATGTAGAACCGTGGGCTTTACTCCCACAAAGCATTGAGGGAAAGTCTTGACTGTAAGGAACCCTGCAGGATTGTGGTCACACACACACATCTTTCAGCTTGACACTGGAATTGTTCCAGACACAGCAAGCTAACAAAAGTTGGTCATGTTTCCTCAGCTGCCTTTTCCAGAATCTTTCTCCATAAGTGGACTTCACTTTGCTAACTCTGCATTTAACTGACCTTAGAGGTCATATTTTGTTTCCTTTTCTTTGACTAGAAACACAAGCCAGCCTTTGAAAATGCAAAGTCTTAACAGGGATGGTGATGCTGTGGGGCTTTTGTATTTCCAGGATGTGGTGATGGAAATGACAGAGACACTGCAACCACCCTTCTCCCATCACTATCAATACAATCACCTCTTGTTTAGTTTTTAGGTGGGCAGATGAAAGCATTGTTGGATATTTTGGAACAAAATGATAAAAGAAGTTAAGTAATCAGAGTAGCAAAAAGCCACAACTTTGAGCACCTACTTGGTTGATAGTCTGTGTAGAGCAGGGATAGGATACATATTGCCACTGAGAATACAAAATAGTCATAGAAGTAAATATACATTTGCATTTGGACCCAGAAATGTCAATTCTAATAATTATTACAAAATACAAAGTGACTTCTGTACAAGGTTATTCATTGTATTATTTTGAATAGGGAAAGACTGAAAGCAATCCAAACCTCTATGTGGGGATTAGTTGAGTAAACAAGGGTAGATTCACATACTGAGATACTATGCAACTGAAAAAAATGAGGATCATAAGATATATTCTTAAAAGAATAGAAGGTTGACCAAGCTTCAGGGGATGGACACTACACCAAGGGCATTGGAGCATTGGGGATGTGAGGGATAGCTTCAGTTGTCAACTTGACACACCTGGGATGAGGGAACCTCAGTTGGGGAATTGTCTTTGTTAGACGGCCTATGGACATGTCTGTGAGGAATTTTCTTGATCATTGAGTGATGTGGGAGGGCCCAGGCCACTGTGGTTTGTGTGACCCCCCCCCCCCAGGCAGGTGGTCCTTGGTTGTTTAAGAAAGCAGACTGAACACAGGCCAGAAGAGCAAGCCAGGAAACAGCATTCCTCCATGGTCTGGTCTGTGCTTCAACTCTCTCTCCAGGTTCCTGCCCTGAGTCCCCGTTTGACTTCCTTTGGTGATGGACTGTGACTTTGGGAGTTGTAAGATGAAATAAATATTTTCTTCCTTGACATAATTTTGGTCAGTGTTTTGTTATCGCAACAGAAAAACTAGAATGACAGAAATTATACTCAATAGCCTTTAAAAAGTAATAATAAAGGACACAAAATAAAAAATAAAATATAAAATAAAATGACATAAAATCAGGTGGGGGATACTAAGAGGGGTGCAGATAAAGAAGAGGATCTGTATATGATAAAAATACATTGTGAAATTCTCAAATTCAATGAAAATATTTTTAAATACGTGGTCCAGAAAAGCATAGTATAGTTCTTTTGTAAAATAGATACTCTATGAGTTTATTTTTGCATATATTTGGGGCAGGCAGGAAACAGATCAATATGGAGACTAGACTACTCTATAAATCTTAACCATATAGCTTTGATTTTAGGATCGATCATGTATGTAGTTTATTTAAAATAATTTTAAATACAAAAGAAATTGTAATTCCAAGAATTTGAAAATAAATGGAAACAAATGATCTAACTGTATATTAAGTTGATTCCATCCATAGCCATGCCAAGCAAATAACTAAATGACTTAAGAAAATGGTATTTTCACTCTACATTGACCATAGAGTATATTCCCTGGATGAATAGACCTACAAAGAGATCTTAAGTTTCATTCTCTTTTTTTATGTTTTGGTTTTGGTTTTGTTTTTAAAAAATATTATTTTTATGTGTATGAGTGTATTGCCTACATGTATGTAAGTAAGTGCATCTGTGTTGTGCAATGCCTGCAGAAGTCAGAAGATAGCTTTGGATCCCCTGGAACTGGAGTTATGCACTTTAGCCACCATATGGGTGCTGGGAATCAAACCTTGGTTCTTTGCAAGAGCAGCTGGTGCTCTTAATTGATGAGCCAGCTCTCCAGCCCCAGCCTCATTCTTATTTCTAGGCGAAATATAGATGCTGTTACTTTCAGATTAATCCTGTATGCTATATATAAAACAAATATGATAGTTGTTACAAACAATGATTTTTTAAATTTTATTGAATTTTTGTGTATTTTATACAGAAAATAATCTTTCTACCCCCTCCCCCTTTGGTACCCTCCAGTAACCCCCCCCCCACACACACACTGGCATTCATAGTTTCTGTCATTTGTGTTAAGGCATATTATGTAAAGTTAG